TCAAAACACAAAACTCGAAACTACAAAATTGAAATACGAAGAAAACATTCCCTTAGATTCTTGTGTTTTGTCTACTTTTAAATTCAGCCCCTGATAGCCTTTTAAATTAACTATTTTTTTCTACCTATTCATTTTCAAATCATACATTCACCTAATAAAATATTCTGTACGTAAATTAAAATTTTTTCTTATTTTTAACTACACATTCTCCAGAAGTTTACTATTCAAAATATTATTTTTGATAATTAACAGATTGCTCAATAACTTAGCTGTAAAAAAATTTTGGACACGAGTCATTTGATACATTGTTAATTAAAAATTTTTGGACACGAATCATTCAATCACATGAAACATTGTTAATTAAACAATAATTCTTCTCAAATACGGCCTACATGGCCCTATTTCTCCAGAATAACTCTTAATTAAATGGACATTTTTCAAAAATGTCATTTAACAATTTTGATGTGGGTGCAAATGACAAAATTGTCCTTCTCCGAACCTGTTAATTATAAAAAATAAGTGTCCATTTATCAAGTCACAATGACTTCATATGTCAATTGACTTCCTTGGTGACTTGTTTGATAAAGTTAAAAAATTATATTTATTCGAATTTAATACTGTGTAACAAATATTTTCTTGAATATAACTGAAAAAAAAAAAAAAAACATTGTTGAAGTACATTATGTGCACCATTGCTAAGATGACTATAACTTTTTCTTTCTGAAATATCGTTACAATAGGTAGATATAAGTGTTAAGAATTATGATTAAAAATGATCTAAATTCTTAAAAATAAAAAAAATAATCACATCCAATTATTGCATTAACAAATAAATCAAACTGCAAGTTTGAAAATAATGATATATGTTTCCAAGTGTGACAAGTCATACTTAGCGTCTTGCCATGTGTTTTGTCTACTTAATTAATATGGGATGATTTCTTAAGAACTTCAACATGTGCCACTAAACACAAAATGTGTAGATTTTGTGTTGGGTTTACTCTCAATTAAAGATTGCTCAATAACTTAGATGTAAAATTTTTGGACATGAATCACATGACACACTGTCATTATTAAGCCTACGACAATAATTACGGATAATAATATAATCTTAAATCAACTGGCTGCAAGCGGTGGTCATATTATGTCCCTATTTGAGCTTCATTTTTGGTCAAATTGTATTTTAAAATAGTATTTATTAGAGAATGTGTGATTAAAAAATAAGAAATTTTTTTGATTTTGCATGTTAAATTATTTTATGGGAGAATGTGTGGTTGAAAATTAATTTTGAAAAAAAAAAGAATTTTTGAAAAATAGGGCCAAATATACTAAACATATGCTAAATTCCGTGGAAAAGCTCAATCTTATTTAAATGCTCATTATATTTCTGTAGAGAAATTGAAATCACCTCAATGCTTTCAAAACCTACCAGTCAATTGATGTATACATTTTGTCATCTTATAATTATTTAATCTTTTAAGGAGGGGATTAGAAATGACAGGTGAAAAAGATGAAAACAAGTCGGAAAAGCGTCTTCTCAACTGAGTTACAAAAAGACTTGTCATTGATTTGAAATGAAAATTAATCGTTGCTCTAGACAGAGCCGGCCCTGAGATTTTGGGCACTCTATGCGGGATTTTAAAATGGTACCCCTTTCATGTAACTAAAACATATATTAAAAAATATATATATATCAATAATATTATCTCGTTGCAAAAATATGAATTTAATTTTTTTTCATACATGAACAAGAAAAATATAAATAAAACTCAAAAGCATATCTCGAATTTCATCAAAATTCATATGTTATCAACAAAGAACCATTTAAAACACTGGCCTCTTCTTGCAATTTCATATAAACAAACCTTGAAAAAATATATATCAAGTATAAAGCTTGAAATGCAGCAAATCATATAAAATATTTCTTCTCACATTTTTAAAAGCAAACTCACTAATTAAACTTTCGTAATCAACATTTTCTAGAGAGTCTTGCTCAATAGATATGAAAGCTAATCCATTCAATCGTTCTTGTAATATGGTTAATCACAAATAAGATTTTAATAACTTTAATTTTGAAAAAAAAAATGTTTCAACCGATGCAACAGTAACAAGAATTGTCAATAATATTTTATAAGGAATACATGTATTTGGAAAGCAATCCAATCTTTTTAAATAAGTTAATATATCAAAAGTTATCTTTATTTCTTTTGATACAAGATTTTATAAAACTATTAACTCTTGAAATAAATCTTCGCCATCAACATCGCAAAAAATTACATGTATTAAAATAATATCAAGATGATCACAAACATGCTTTCAAATTAGCATTATACAATGAGTTTAACTTGTCAGAAGAATTGAATTTATCAAACCTTCGTTCAAGTAATTCAATTGCTTGATTTACTATATAAAAGAAATAATTGGTTCTGAAAGAATCTTTAGGTGATTGTGCATTGTTTACAGTAGCATTTTAATCAAAATGTTTCTTCCTACGAATTACATGTTTCACTTGAAATAAATGATTAATTTTCATTTCAATGGCAATTTCTTTAGGAATATTTATCGCATCATTGAATCCAATTTCGCTATATTTTTTAAAAAAAAGCAGTTAGCCCTTTCACTCCCTCAATGACAACGTCAATAAACATATCATTAGATTGCAAGCATTTACTAATCGAGTTAACAACATACAATATCTTATACCATATGATCATAGCTACTGAAAACTCAAAATTTTTGACATGAATATTTCATTATAAATAAATATACAACTATAAAAAAATTTGGTGCCTCAACAATTTTGAGGCCCTGTGTGGTCGCTCAACTAGCACGCCCTCAGAACCGTCTCTGGCTATCGATAATATGATGAGATATTGGGAGAATGTATGATTAAAAAATGAGAAAAATTTTTGATTTTGCATATAAAATTATTTTATGGGAGAATATATAGTTGAAAATGAATTTTGAAAAAAAAAAAGAGTTTTTGAAAAAATAGGGCCAAACATATGAAACATATGCTAAATTCGGTGGAAAAGCTCAATCTTATTTAAATGCTTATAATTTTTCTGTAGAGAAATTGAAATCACCTCAATTCTTTCAAAACCTACCAGTCAATTGATTTATAAATTTTGTCATCTTATTAGTATTTAATCTTTTAAGGAGGGGATTAGAAGTGACATGTGAAGAATGTGAACACAAGTCAGAAAAAGCATCTTCTCAACCGAGTTACAAAAGGACTTGTCATCAATTTGAAACAAAAATTTATCGTCGCTATTGATAATCTAATAAAAATTTAATAAAATTGTTGATGTAAAATTCATTCCATCAATCAAAGGATTATGGTTTTGGTCAATAGGTTGGTGTTAAGGACCAACCATTACTTAAATTGGATTGAAAAGAAAGCATGCCACTGTGGAAAAACCTGGATTTGTATATTTGCATGCAAACTACACCATTATGTAGTCTCTAGCAATACCATTATTTTAGTAGGAAAAGGAAGGAAAAGAAAAGAAAAGAAATTCATACAAGTGAAACTCCATTTTGAGAGAACACCTTAAATGGGAACACTACGCCTATGGGTAAGATGACTAGTACTCTACAGAAATTGGCAATTGTTATAGAAATTAAGTCTATGTACGTAACTCGTTTTCAATCGCATTATTCCATAAAATAATGCTATATGTACAATAAAATGTTTTCCTCATTTTTTAACCATATTCTTCAAAAATTATTATTCCAAAGCACATGTTAAATTCCCCCAAAATCTCATTTTAATGGAGCAAGTTTCATGATGGTTTTTTTATTGACCGCCGTAAGAAGTTATTTTTAGTCCTCTAATAGGTATTCCATGACAGCAAAATCTACCCATCACTCATAATGTCAACATTTAGCTATTGTATATTATTACTAAAAAGAAATTGATCACTTGACAACATATTTGTATGTGCGTCTTATTTTGACAATGTGGAAAGCCTAATTTGTTTCAGTGAAGCTACACGTACAAGATCTGTTTCGATCCTTGGCAAGAAACACGTGGCGACGGTCCCCGTAAGTATTTTTAAATACATGTGGGGCCCGCCCCCAAACAATGAGGGCCTGTAAGGCCCCTGTTAAAGTGCACTTGTACTTGCAGCTTTTTTCAATTTGTTTTTATATCGTGCAATGTCTCAATGAGATTTATAAAGAGATTACCAATCTGATATCAATGTTAGCTTTTCCAATTTCATTTGGACTTTACCTGTTTGATCCGAATTCCATGAAAATAATGCTGTAAAAAGTGGCATTTTGTATTAAGAATTGGGGATTCATCTTAAAAGGTTAATAGTTAAAAAGAGTAATACAGCCCCTTATAAATTGGTTTATATTTTCATCTTTACTCGATGTGTCATTTGATCCTTTAATATGTCCCGCAAAATAGTACATTTGAGGAAAGCAATCATGAAATCCGTATACTCATTTTTTGAGTCTTAAATGGATGAAACTGCTCGATTGAGCTCAATGAGCTTTCATACCTTATTAAAATTTGATGAACTATCTTAAAAGGTTAACCTTATTAAGAGAAATATCAATAAATCCTTATAAATTTATCTATATTTTTATCTTTATTCGACAGGAGATTATAAACTAGAACAACATGCTTGGGAAATAAGTATCTTTTACATCCTATGATATAAAGATCAAATCTCATGTTATGCCTTTGTTTAGTAGATATTAAAATCATACTTTTAGCAAATTTTAATAAAAATTGATAGAATGTGTACTTGAGTAGTTGTGAATCCTATAAAATGTGGAGATGAAATTAATAGCTTTCTTTGACTTAGATTTTTTAGCAAGACATATATTTTATATATTTATAGTACTATTGTCTCGTGTCATGCATGAATTATTTTGCTTGTTTTACAATGATAGTTCACGTCCAAATTCTTCTATAAATACCTTGGATTGCTTCTTCTCAATCCCACTTTTCTTTCTAAGACACACACTCACAGCAGACATGAAGACAGAAATAGTTGGCGGGAGTGAGAAAAATATATGGAGTTCAATGTTGTTCATTACAGCATTTCTGATATTGGGATGGAGAATTATGGATCGGATTTGGCTTAAACCTAAGAAGAAGGAGAGAATGCTTAAGCAGCAAGGCTTCAAAGGGAACCCATATACCCTGACCAGGCTTCTGTTTGGAGACGTAAAAGAGAACTCAGTCGAATATGCTGAAGCCTTGCGAAAGACTATCAATATTCACGACGAAGCTGTTCCCCGTGTCATGCCCTTCGTTCACAAAACCATTGAAAAATACGGTATCTTCAAGGAAACTAATGTACTTTTTTAGAAAATAATTCTAATGAACTTCCAAATATTTGTGAGTGGAAACTAAGTGCCCGTTTGGTTTGTATTTTAGTGTTTTGCACTGAGAACTGAATTACCAGACCAAACATATTTTCTGGATTTTGCAAAACTAAAACCAGTTTGAAAACAGCAAACCAGAAGCAACTATCTTAGGTGCCTGCATTTATGTAATAATTGATCCATGCATGCACTAATTGTATTTGCATTACCATAATTTCTTTCTAAAAAGTTTTTTTTTTTTCTTTTTCTTTTTATTTTTCTTTTTTATGTTTTTTGTAGGTAAAATGTCGTTCATGTGGGTTGGACCGAGACCTCGGGTGCTCATTATGGATCCTGAGTTGATGAAAACAGTGATGAGTAAATACAATATTTTCAAAAAGAATTTTAAGGTAACCAATAATATAGTACAAACACTTATTAGTGGAATCCTTAATCAAGAGGGAGAAGAATGGAGCAAAAACAGAAAGACTCAAAATCCAATTTTCCAACTGGAAAAAATTAAGGTAAAATTTTTGTACCAATTAATATCTTTTTCCCCCTCTTCTGTATAATTAATCTTAACACATTATTGACATTTTTTTTTCAATATTTTGTTTTTAATTATGTAGCAAATGATACCTGCATTTCAAGTAAGCTGCGATGAAATTGTGAACGAATGGAAGAACTTGGTGTCGAGCTCCAAGGATGGCTCCTGTGTGGTGGACGTGATGTCTCATATAGAAGTCTTGACCACTAAAGTAGTGTCCCGAACTTTATTTGCCACTGACTATGCTCAGGATAAAAGGATCTATGAAATTCTTAAAGAATTGACTGCTATTGCGAGACAGACAACCCGAATAGTTGATTTACCGGGAGCAAAGTACGTTATTGCACTTACATTGTCTTTACATATTTACAATGATGTTTGTACTCTCAGCACAATTGTCCATTGTTTTCAAAATGATGAAAATGGAGGTTTAACTTAAGAAATGTCGGTTTATATTATTTACTGATGCTCTTCATTTAAATTCGACGTCTTGTACTCGTCTTAATATTCATCATTGTAGGTCTTTTGTGTCTTCATTTTAGTATATTGACAATTTTCTCAATTTGGTGTAGGTATCTTCCCACTATGACAAATCGAAGGTCAAAACAGATAAAAAATGAACTAAGAAAATCATTTTCGATTCTGATAAATGAAAGAGCAAAGGCAATTAAGGCAGGAAAAACCACGGAGGATAACTTCTTTCATGTGTTGTTGGAATCTGAACTCGCAGAAGCTCATGGAATCAAGAATATGGATGATTTGATTGGAAATGTTCAGTTATTTTACTTCGCAGGACATGAGACCACCACAGCTATGCTCGTTTGGACCATGATTTTACTTAGTATCCATCAAAATTGGCAAGAACGTGCAAGACAAGAGGTTTTTCAAGTCTTCGGAGACCGCAAACCTGATTATGAAGGGTTAAGTCAACTGAAAATTGTAAGTAGTCTCAATTTTATATACTTCACAAATATGTATGTTTCCATAGTTATCTTAAAAAGGAAATGTTGAAAATCATCAGAAAAAGCATGAACATAGTTGTATTAATTTTGATATAGGTTTAGTGACCGAAAACATATATTTAACCCTATAATGAACTCATACAAATAAAAGATGAATAATTTTGAAAGAAAAATGTTTGGTAATGAATATATGTGTGTGTGATAGACCGAAAATGATGCAAATCTCATCTTTCGGATTAGAAAATGTAGTTATACTGGATTCATTCGCCTTGGTTTTGGTTTCAAGTAATATTATTCAGTACCACTGGTACTATACAACAATTTAGATAGCGTTTAAGTATCATTAATTGATAGATCACCTTAAAAGTAGAAAAATAAATCACTTTAAAGACGTTCTGTCTTTTGCACGACACCTAAACTGATGCTCTAGCACCAGTATCATTATTCTTAATTTGGTTTTTTCATGTGTATAAAAAATTCTTTTATTGTCACTCAAGTTTTTTCAACGTTAATCATCAAGAAATGAATAGGGTGTCTTTGTCATTCTCTTCCCTTATTGTTTGAGATCCTTTATCATCCTCACAGACAACAATGATTTTCAATGAGGTATTACGGCTGTATCCACCAATTGTTGAACTGTCTAGACTGGTTGAAGAAGAAACAAAGTTAGGACAATACACTATCCCAGCCGATACACTATTGATGTTGCCAATAATCATACTTCACCGAGACACAGAATTGTGGGGCGAAGATGCAAATGAGTTTAAACCAGAAAGGTTCGCTGAAGGAGTATTGAAAGCAACAAATGGGCGCCTTGCATTTTTCCCATTCGGTTCAGGTCCCCGAGTGTGCATTGGACAGAACTACTCTCTATTGGAAGCCAAACTTGTCTTGGCAAATATTCTGAGCAACTTCTCCTTTGAGCTTGCACCAACTTATACACATGCTCCCTATGTTATTTTTACTGTGCAACCACAATACGGTGCTCCACTCATTCTGCACAAGATTTAGCGTGATTTCAAAAAAACGATAAATCTCTATGCAGTCGATCCTAATCAAATCGTCAGAGATTGAATCGTCACGTTGTGGGATATCATTGCATAACCACTTGCTTGTTTTCCTTTTATCTGTCTTTTCACAAAATTAAAACTTCGAATAAAAATCAGTTGCTTGGATAAGTGCCCTGAAAAGCGTAATCCTTGTAATGAGACATTTTCCATTGGTTAATAAGGTGGTGTTTTCATGTTGATTTTAATTCCAATGTCATGTTATTGTGTACTACTACCAGAAGGTTCCATGCATGGTTCTTAATGTGAAATAAAAATATTTGTTTTGATTATAGCTTACACAATGGCTAACCAGTCATCGAATATTCGGTTGTCATTAAAAATTTTTGTGGTGGCAATGCAAATTGTTACAGATTTGCTCGTAATGGTATTAATAACCTTAACATAATAATTATTGAAATATTGATCATGTTTATAGCAGTCATTAAATATAATATTAACTAATGGACCATTATTAGCCATCACAAGATAACTATTCAGAAACCATTTACGAGCAATAGAGAAGTTTGAACGTATATGCATAATCCTTTGGATGGAGAGAAACAATTGTACATATGGATGAACACAATTACCAGCTGGACCAATTGTTATTTGGCCCCTGTTTGGCAATGTTAAAAATGAGACTTTTAGTAAATTTTGATAAAAGTCATGAAATGTGTGGTTAAAAGTTGATAAACATAGTTGGTCCTATAAAATGTGTAATTTAAATTAATTGTTGAGTTTAAGTTAAATATTTTTCAAATTTTTAAGCCACGCCAAATAGGGTTTGGACTCATTCGATCGTGTGCTCGTCTCATTGGGTGAATGATGGTAGCACTGATGGATAGGTTTATTAAGATCACAGGAGGCTGGTGCAGTTGGAGCTGGAGATAGGTTCATTCACGATAACAAAAGTTGCTTTTTTATCATAAATTCGCATAAAATTGATATATTTTACTAAATAATCAAATTAATTGAAAAGAAAATGTCATAAAACTATTTCTAAAATTTTTAAACCAAACTCGTTTTCTATTTTTTTTTGTTTTGTTTTGAGAAACAGATTTTCAAATGACAAACCAAACGCGTTTTTTGCATTCTTAAAATAATCCCTCAAAATAGAAAATAGAAAATAGAAAATGAATTCAAAACTGAAAATAGAGAATAGAAACGCAAAACAAACGCTCCTTTAACTTTTTGATGATTTCTTAGCTGGATTTTTTTCATTTACACGAAAAATTTCTAGATCCACCCGTAACATTGATTAGAAGGCCAATGATAACCACCCCTCAAAATGGTTGAAAAAAATAATAAAATAAAATAATAATAATAATAAATAAATATAAAGAATTTCTCAATTGTTATTCATTACACAAATATCAGTACGGTCTATAATTTTCTCCATCCAGCTGATTCTTGAGTGGACGACAAAGTTGACTTTAATTCCATTAAAATTTGAATTCATTATTTTATTTAGCAATTTGTTTAGGCACTTTTTTTTTCCCAGAAGCTTTAACCTTGCATGAATTTTTATCTAAGAAGGACGCTTGGAAGCAAAGGTTTAAGGAGCTTCTTCTTTATTCTTATCACTTACATATCGCTTATGCTTCGCAGGTAGAGGGCGAGACTCGCAGAGTATATTTATTGGTTTTTCAGGGATGATTTCTTAATCACCTCAACAAGTATTAATTAACAGATTGCTCAATAATTTAGCCGTAAAACTTTTTGGGCATGAATCACGTAATACATTGCTAATTGAAATTTTTTGGACATTATAAATGGAATTAAAACATAAATGCTTATATTACGGGCAGGGAGCTTTCATTTTCCCAAATAAAAAGCTAAGATTTTCTTGTAGGTACACTTGCAATGTTGACTTCCTGCTTAAAGTGCTTCCATGAGTTGTAAAATTCTTCTAGTTGAAGTTGTGATGAAACATGCCACGTGGATCTTCATGAACTTTTTCCATCATTATTTGAAAAATGTCATCATTCATGTCCCAAAATTTTAACGTGTTTGTCTCATGGATAGAATTGTAAGGTAGTCTAACTTAGTATGGAGAAGGACTTGAGCGAACTTCCTCTGCCAAGTGCTCGTAAGGTGCGGTTTGGTCCTTATTACAATGTATCCTGCGAGTGGAATACATTGGTCCATGGGCTTGTCTTCTTCGCTATTCAAGGTCCTCTTCTTAATGGGTGGATATATTGTATTTCTCTAGTTTTTGTCACGCGTTTTTTCAGCCACGAGTGATTTGAATTCGCGTTGTTTGAGCCTCGAGTGATTTGAATTAATATAATAGTTCTTGATCAATGAAAATAATATCAATTAGACTGTTTCAAAATGAAAAAAATAATGACCGACATGCATATCTTAACTACATAGTCTCATAATCACTTGAGAAGCATTGTCTTCATGATATCAAGTATTCATTGATGGTATACTTTTAAAAATAATCAGTTTGTCGTTATATATTCATGATGAGTATAACTTAAAAATGCTATCAATTACAATAAATGGCGGCTAATTGTTAAAATTAATGTAAAATTGATGTCAATTATAAAAATTATTCCATCACATGTATTAAATATACTAAAAGAGATAGATATTAGTCAATGATTGGGAGAAAACATGAACTTTGTGCTTGTCTTGTTGTGTGACTATTTTCTAGTGTAGAATAACTTGCATTGATAGTTGATACTCCATGTGGTGGTTGGGGTTGGTGGTTCCACCTTCAAAACATTCCTTGCTAAAAATCTTTTGAAAATAGGAAAGCAATTTCTAATGGCTGCTAAGTATTCCAAAAAAAATAATAATAATAAAAATAAAATAATAATAACAACAACAACAACAACAACAACAACAACAACAACAACAACAACAATAATAATAATAATAATAATAATAATAATAATAAAATACTTTTTGGAGGTTGATTAAATAAATTTTTACTTTAACGTCATTTAGTTCGTCACAGTATCTACTAAAACATGTGTTCTCCAAAATGGTAGCAACCAGCCGCCACCTCCTCAAATCTCTTCGATGACTTTGTTATGTTAAAATAAATAGAATAATAGACAAAAGGAGGCAAAGTGGGATTATTTATATATTCTTCGGGCATTTAATGATATGGTCTTTTTTTTCGTGTCAAATATAGATTAACATCAACATAGATAAAAAGTTGTTTATCTATGTAAAAAAAATTATTGATTTGGGTTTCAGTTTTTAGGGTCAAATTCTTAACTTCATTCTATTCCAGATTAAATTTTTCAATCTGTATGTAGTGTATACTATAACTCCAATTTGTTGAAGATTATATTTTTTTCAGAGTTGGAGAAAGGGGGTGTATGTGCTCAATGAAGGTCTTCATTGTATTGTTGTAGGAATTGGTTCAAATAATTAACCAAAAATTTTGTAGGAATTGGTTCGAATAATTAACCAAAAATTGAAAAATGAAAAGGTGTGACTACGTGTCAACTTCGACCAAATATTCGGGCTTGATCCGATGGTCAAATTATAAAAGTAAATAGACCAACTTATTCTACTCGTCGAGTAGATCGTCGTGATATATTTGGAATCTCGAAATCAATTTCGGATGAATGAGAAATTGCGGATCAAAGTTGGAAGAAATGAAGTGTTGCAACTTTTCAAAAGGATGCCTGTTTTGACCCACACTACTTCATTTGCACCATTTTTACATCTATAAATAGGACTCTATAGACATGATTTTGGGTACACCAATTGCATTGAGCATTCATTCTCCTCTTGCAATTCTCTCATTTCTAATTCTATAGCATTTTCATGAATTTCCTTGGTAGAGAGAGAATTCTGTTCAAGTTCGCTGATCGAAGTCATTTGGAGTGCTCCTATGATTTGACGTGGTCGTTATATCTTGGGAGATGATAGTCGAAAAATCGTTAGCACCGATGCGGGGTAAATTCATCTTAAGGAAAGAGTTATACTCGTCTCGGCCAATCGCATCACTTACATATAATTTTTTCTAATTTCATTTCTACTTGATTTTAGAAAATGATTAATTTTATTTATATGGTTTATGCAAGGTTCGATATGAAAAATCACATATTTTAATTCAAGAATGGAAATGGTCAGATTCGATAATCATTTATTAGTTTCTCAAACTCCATTTCAGTAAATCGAAACCTTGTTTAGATTTCGTGAACATAAAATGTATATTTTTTGTGGATATAATATGCACATAATCGGTATATTCCCCAATAATCTTAAGATGAATTTTATTTTTGTGCATTTAATATTTTGATAAGTAAGTTACATGACTTGATTATGTGGCTTGATAACATATCAAATCTATTTTATATGCCTGAATATGGAATTGCACGTGTATGCATGTGTGAGATTTAAATTTGTTATTGCATGAATTATTTACTATTCACGCCATTTTAACAGTTATGCTCCATAGGGTATTATTTTGATTAAGTCTTATTCGTTCACGTATCGATTGAATTCCAAGAATTCAGTTTGTTTAAAAGATTTAATTATGAAAGGCTTGAGTTCTTTTGCCTTCAAGCCATGACAGTTCAATTTTCAAAAGCACTATGTCTATCCCTTTTCTTAAAATATTGTGAATGACGTATGAATGGATGCTTACATGAAATTATACATTGAGAGAATAATGATAGTAAAATATTCTCTAATTTGGGTTTGTTAAAATGCAACATATTCGAGATTCAAAATAATGAATAACTTTGGTCTTGTTTTACCTTATGTGGACACTTTTTTGTATGAATGGTTGTACTCAAACCAACGGTCATTAGTGGGAGAAGGCTGCTAAACCAAATTTAATTTCTTCCATCCTTCTTTATTTAACAATGGGCTTTGAAAACACGTGGGTGATCAATTTTCATCTGTGTTGGCTATTGCTATTGGTTTTGGAAGTGCATGGTGCAGTTCCAGCCATTGTTTAATTTAATTAATTGTGGTAGTGACAATTCA